AATTTCTGACTTTAGCATTTTATTAACACTTAATTTATTGACTTTTTTTTTTTTATATTTATCAATAGAAATTATTACATGTAGGTGCATTAAAGAGTCAAACTATTTTTGTTTATTTAATGAGTCAAACTATATATAAAGGTACGTACCCCTATTGGCTTCCTCCTTGTTATTTGACGTGCTTTCAGCTTTTAAATGTACTCATTAGATTGGATCAATTTGAAAAGTTGGACGAATTGAATTAACTAAATTTATTTGAATCTTTTATATATATATAATTGTCTCTAACTTTAACCAAAATAATTAAACTTGAATTTTATTGATTTGATTTGAATATTTAGATATTCTAAAACTGAATTAATTTGAATCGAACTCTATATTTTGTATATTTTCATTTTTTTTCTATGTTTTGAGAAACATTTCTATTTTAATTAATATTCTAAATTCAAGAGTTATTATTAAAATTCAAGCAGTTTTTAACAACATACACGATATTTTTTAATTAAAATTTAATATATATATATATATATATATATATTATTCGATAATTTAAACGAATTAAACATGTTTTTTATTGGGTTAATTTAGTTCGAATTTATTAAAAAAATTCAAATTTATACCAAATTAATTAATTTTAATTGGTTTAATGTTTCTTTCAAAAGCGAACCAAACCGTGTTTGCATCCCTATAATCTTGAACCAATAATATGACGGTAGCCATTAAAGCCCCCAAATGCTTGCATCAGTACACTTTCTTCTCGAGATTATTCAAAACATTTACAATACCTAAAACCCTAGCAGTGTTTTTCATAATTAATTTTTTAAAGAGCATATATAAGAGATCTTAACAATTGGCATCCGAGGGGAATAACAATTAATGCTAAAGTCAAATACGTTTTAAGAAAACTAAACATCGTTGCAAGTTATTGAGTCAAATTTTGCGTGTTACTTGTTGAAAATACTTAATCATGTCATTTTATATTTAACAGAAATTAGTCTCTCGTCTAATGAGAATTAGTCTCACATTGAAGTGGTGTGGAAATATTACTATACTTTTTCACTCTTACACGGAAAGTTATGATTAAAATTTATACATATTAATCACAAGCCCTTCTATGATGCTCTAATTAAAAGTTCATCGATCATGATATTCAAAGAACGGGGATTAATATTTTTCTTAAGATTTTTATACCCATTGGGATATGATAGATGAAACTTAAAGAATTGAGTAACTTGGATTTTGACAGAAACACAAGGAAAGACATGTATGCACCAACACAACACATATAGTTGTCTTTGTGATTTGTCGAAAGCCTACTTTGCTCTCTCTTCAAAGGAGTATAAGAATGGTTAATTTGAAACCAAAAGAACTCTATATTTTTTCCGAGGTGCTCATTGAACCGTGTGAAAGTTTGTGGGGGAAAGGGGAGGGGACAATATATTTCATGCAAGTTGCTTAATCCCTTGCTGTTGTTTTAATGTTTAAGTATATCTAATAAACTCTTCACTCTAAAAACTTTCCCTTTTCTATTTTCACCTTAATAAAGATCGATCTATTTTTCGTAAATTTTAAGATATTGTAAAATTTACTTACTGAATCCAACAACTAATCATGATAAGTTTTTATTCGATAAAAATTAAATTATTTTTTTAACATAATCACCTCATGTTAGTTAACAGCACAAAAAAATTAACTCATTATAAAGAATGTTAACGTTTAATATTCACAATAAATGAAAGGGCAATGCATTATTAAAATGTAATTCAAATTCTATTTTTAACAAAGGCAGACACAACTGATAGATTAATATATTTGTGCCTGTGTGAATGCTATAACGAAATAGTTTTTTACACGGGTATTTTTTAATATAAACAATAAAGATTCAGATGTTTTCAGGTCATGTATTCATTTGAAAAGTATTTTGAAAAATATTTTAAAGCTTTCTCCAACAATTTTATTAACCAATACATAAGATATATATAATGATGTTATTCAAATTTTTACATAATAATCGAATGTTCTTCTGCAACAAATTTTCACAAATTCTGAATTCTTATATATATATTTCAAAAAGTGGAAGCATTTACACTACTATAAACCCTTTTGGTACTAATTAAAAAGCATTTGAATTAAGTAGTGGGGAGAAGAGAAGAACTTTTAAATCACAATAAAAACAGCTGATTAAGAGAGTGAGGACCACCATTGAGAAGAAGCTGAAACCAATGAAAAGAGAATCCCGATATATTTGATAATCATGATGAAAGACAATGTGAGCCAAGAGTCATGATGATAACAAAGAAATCATTTTTCTATTCCTCTCAAACATGCACTAATGCACCAGAACTACTGCAGAAAATAAAACGGATGCAAGCGATATGAAATTCCATCCCAGACTATTATTATATACTCAAACATGAACTTACTGTACGATTATAACACTATATTTTCTTCTCTTTTTTGGCCAAAAACAATAGTCAATAATTTCTTACACATCACTAATTTGTTTATAAACTAAGTATATATTCATTAATTTGGCCTCCTGGTTAAGGAAGTATAGAAGTATTGGATATTTTTCTTCGTGTATCTCTGTGTGTTTGCTATTCGGGGGCTGGCCAGCGTTTATTCCAAACTTGGAAATTTGTAGTGGTGACTTAAATTATATACCGATTCAAATTAAAACACTAAATTTACCACAAGAAAAAGAGTGATGGAGCTAGACTTTGAAAGTTATCATGCTAAATTTTCAGTACATAGGACATATATTACATAGAGAATGCTATCGATGTTAAAAGCAATTAGAATTAAAAGACAAGGAAAGGACAGAGAGAATCAAAATTGACGATATATCAATCTATTCATGCATCATTTTTAGATACTCAACCAAACAAAAATTTATACTAATGATTAGTCGTTAGGTTTATCTTCATTGATATAGTTACATACTCAGTTTAAAGAAAGGAAATCAATTTGTTCATACTCTTAAAATGAGATGTAAAATGGGTGAAAGAAGAGCGAAATAAAAATAATAATAATAAGCATGATAAATAATATAATAAAATATAAAATAACAAAATATAAATATGATAACTTTACACTTATAATATATTACATCATGCTAATAGATAATCTTGTTGACGTATAAAATTAATATATATTATCAGTACACCGTATTGTTAATATTGCTAATATGTTATATTATTTGTGTAGATTTAGAATATTGTATAGTTTAATTGTCGTTAAACGGTTTATACGAAAAAAAAGAAGAGAAAACTACTACCTAAGAGTATATATGATTTTCTTTAGTAATGTATATTCATCAACTATATTTTTACCTTTTTTAACCTTATCCGATTCAGTAAAAGGATTATAAGAAGTACTCTCAACCCATTTAAATATTATAGAATTAAATTATTTCTCAGCATACTGCAACATTCATACATTTACTAAGATTGTTGTACCGTTCAACGACAACAAAAATAGAAAACGCCATTCACCTTTGTTTTAATCAAGTCCAAGAACGTCCGTGTATCTGATCAACTGTTTTTTCTTGGGTTCTAAAATACATTACTCCAAAACAAGGGTCACGGAGGCAAGTTTCAGAAAACTTTATTGGCAACATGGAGAAATAGTGCCAACAAAGAACCCCCAAGATTCAGACATTTGCCTTGTATGGATGGAAGAAGGAGCTAGCTCTCAATTGAATCAATCCTCATTAGCCTTCGACTTGTTCCTTTGTTATGTCATTGTGTGGAAGGGAAAAAATCCAGTAAAATAAATAAACAACAGCTATTCATCCTTGAATTTTAAGGGATTAATGTCATGATACATTTTAAATTGAATGAATAATAAATATATTTTTATTTGCTTACTTTAGAAATAAGTTCATTTTAGAGTATCTTTATCCTAAGAATATACCGTAAATGTTAATGAAGTGTTTGAGTCCAGGTTAGCCCTAAGGCTGTATGTTATTTTGAATTACAAAACATAAGCTAACAGCCACTACCGCAATCAGACTTGGAAACTACATACCAAATAACTAGTAACCTAATTCTATAAGCCTCAAATTATTTTCATTTAGAGCGTCATGAAATTAAATTAAATAAGTAGACACATTAAAGCATTCATAAATATGTATATTAGACAACCAAGAGACATATATTAGAAAAGGAAAATCTCAATCAGTGTACTGTAAGAAAGACCAAGTTGGCTTTTCCACTTACCAAGAAATATTTGAGAAAGTTGGTGTATATATCTTCAGGATCTTATCTACAATTAAAACCAAGGGACTACAGCAGAGTGCAGACAGATTTGTTCTTTTACATGTAGAATTCAACATACTATAACCGTATGTTTCTTACACTAGCTTATTTTCATCTTGCTAAATACATGTATTTTATGTCATTGAGCAACCATGGTAGCTTGCCCAGAAAACTCATTCAGGGAATATAAATTTTATTTGCGCCAATTAGTCTGAATCGTGTATTCTCTGTATTTGTCTTGGCCTGATGGATTTATTTCAGAGGAATAAGAGAGTGATCCATTATCCCTACAAGGTTTCTGAATTATACTTTGAATGTTTGTGGTACATTCAGTTACTTTAGTTTGGGGTTCCCATCACTCAGTAATATTCCAAATACTCCACATCAAACCCGTTGTACTTAAGAAAGGGAACTAAAAATATCATTAAGGTATATAGGTATAGTATTTATTAGGTCAAAATTTAGGATCTGTGTGCTAGGTTTGTAAACAAACCAATTCAGCACTCATAGCCTCATAAAAAAACCAGAGTTTTTATCTGTCAGAAATAGGCTATTATTATTCTACTTAAAAGGATTAAACTAAATTAAAGACAATAAGAGGATGGGCTTTCATTCCAATTATATAATATCAACATTTCTATACTTCCTAGCTTATTTATAGCAACAGAGTATTATATATCATGCATGCTTACAATATGCAGCAGCAATTCAAAATTGATAAAATTGTCTTCCCCAATTCTTTTATGAATGTGATCCAGTACTGTATCCAAAAGCCACAGAATGTAGATCCTCCACTTCATGATACCCCCACGTCCTCCTATTAGTTTGCATGTCATAGGACATGGAGTAATTAGAACTATCATCAAAGCTAGAAAATGAGCTACTCTCTTCCATGGCTCCAGATTTTTCATAATTAATCCCATTAATAGGGTTAAGATCATCCATCAGAGCATTGTTCCCATAATGTTGTGTTGCTGAGGATAAACTAGTACCCAAATTAGGAAAAAAATCCTGCCCCAGGTTTGAATTTTCCACCTGGAACCAACTTTGAAGATCTTGGGGTAAAGTATAAGATTTTTCGAAGAATTTTTCACTAGGGTTTTCTTGGGCAGAGACATTGACACAACTCTGAGCTGCTTGTTCCTTGAGATAAGCTAGTTGTGCTTGTAAATTAACAACCTATATATACAAAGATCAACGCAAAAGTGCATGACCCGATTAGTAAATTTGATAGTATACACAAAAAGCACCAGTTGAGTACGTAGGGCTTTCAGTTACAAAATTGTGAAAGGGAAACAAACCTGTTGTTGGAGTGCAAAAATATGGGAGACACAGCCATAAATAGGGTCTTGAAGTCTTGCTTGAGCTTCATATGAGATTGTGACTGCAGCTTCACAACGATCACTCACAGGAAGATGAGCAAGGAGCTTTGAAACATTGCTTGCACCAAAGACCTTATGAATGGCTGCAAAATGAGTAGCACCCTGCTCATGGCAAAAGTAAGGTGCAAAAACACAACCCCTCACACATTTTCTTCTCAAGAATTTGCAGGCTCCACAAGGAGAACCAGAACCAGTCATCTTGGCCTTTTTGGGGTTTGAGAATTTTTGTTGTTTTTTCTACCTCTATCTCTTCAGCTTTGTGCTGAACATGATCATTCATCACCATCTTTATATACACCGGAGCAAGAGGAAGGGATATATTAGAATAATGAATAGTTAATAACGTTAGGTTCCCTTAATGGCCTACAGTGTTCATTATTTAAAACAGTGTCATACCTTATAATAAGTTTTTATTTTTGTCACAAAAATGAGATTCCATTCAGCATCCTTATACGACAAATGAGGTAGCATTAACCAAACCCATTTTGTTTAATTGATGATTGGATCCATCTGCTCTTGTCCTTTCTTTTCAGGATAATTATAATGTTCATCGTTTCCTTATAGCTAAGTGATAGCCGCAAGTGCAAATTTATTGGACTGATTATGTGTATACTTGACCCAGAGAATATGAGGATATATAGCATCAGAACCGAGTTAATAATAATTTACTAATTATCAACTTATTGTTACAGCTTTACTGCAACATAGTACGCATGTATTAACTAATGCACAGTATATGATTTTTCTCAAAAAGCTTTTAGGATTATCTAACATTGTGCGACAACAGAATTAATTATTCTTAGAATGCCCCAACTATTACCCACACATTTTTTCATTTCCCATGTTTCCTAACATATATCATAAGCTTATAATTTTGAAGTTCGTACCATAATTGCTATACTCAATCCTTGGGTTGAAGTACCCTTGTACTTCCTTACAGTCATTTACTGTTTAGTTAAATGATGACATATAGCTCATACTACTACTACCTTCTGTAACGGTAGAGTGAAGACTGTCACCAAGCACTATTCTTCATCAACATAGTTGTCATAATAACAGTTTTTTGTATTTTTTTTTAATTCTTTACATGCGTTTTTAATATAAATTAAAATTAAAATTTAATTTACTTTTAGTGACGTAAATTACTTCTTTTATTTTTCATATTAAATATTATTTGAGTACTTTTATTTATTTTGTTTTTGTCATTTTAAAATATAAAAAATAATTAATTAATTATTTAATTATATCCTTATTTATTAAAGATAACTTTTCACCATTAACTACTAGAATAATTATAATTACTGTAAGATTATTTTTATTAACTGACTATTACAATAATTTCAACACTTTTAATAGAGAGTGAAATCAATTTTTTTTTATCATAATAACTAGTTATAAAATTAATATTTTTTAACCCGTGTGCATTAATACTAAATGATATTTATAATAAGATAGATTCAATGACTCTTGCAATAATTTTAATACTTTTAAAATTATTTTAATTAACGGTTTTTTTAATTTACTCAATGGCACATAATAAAAAATTATATAAATTAATTTTTTATTGAAAATAATAATATATTACAGAATTTAATGCATTATTGTTAAATATTATAATTTTTAATATAAATAAATATTTTTTATTTTTAATGTCTCCCTAAATATATGTTAATTTTTTTAAAAAAAATCATTTTATTTTATTATAATAATTAATAAAATTAATTGTTTTTCTTAATATGTACGGTAATACTAAGAGTACTTGATAGTTTTAATGGCATTAAGCGTATGAATTATCGTGATACCTCTAATTAGTGGCACATATATTTCAGTTCAATGCAGGTTAATTAAAATTGATAATTATCCTGTTAAAATTAAGAAATCTAGCAACACATTCTTTTTAATGTTAAAATTTATTAAAAATTAAAAAATATAAGACAAAAATATTAAATTAGAAGTGAGACTCATATAATTTTTGTAACTTTCAATAAATTTTAATTAATAACGAAAAATGTTTTATAAATAATATGTTACTAATATTATTCTTGTAAAATTAAATTTGCTTCTTAGGAGACTTTCTAACAAACAAGTGGGGGATTGGTATCTTTTAACAAGCACTCATAATTAATGTTGTAAACTGTAATGAGATTGACATTTAACATTAAATATGAAACAAAGTAACAACATTTGCTGGTGGATTCTTGCTATAAGAATAATTATCCCTTAAGTACAGGTAATCTAAGCATAAAGCAACTTTTTTTGTTTTGGAAAAAAAGAGAAGCAGATTCCAACAATGAGTGAAAAAAAAAAAGAGTGACACAAGTTTAGAACACAAAAGAAGCCAATTAAAAGAGAGAGGGCAGAGAAGATTTTGTTGCCCTTTCTAGACTTGGAATTGTTTAAGCTTTGGAGGTCACGGTTTGTCTAGCAATACTGTATAGTTATCATTTAAGAAATATTGCATACACTCATTCGTAACTTTCAATCACTTACTTCTGTCCTGTGTAAGCACCAACATGTAGACCTCACCCAAATGTAAAATGAGACCCCACACTCAACCCTACCTAATTATAACACCTCAATAAAAGGCCATAAAATGGAAATATAGTGATTTTATTTTTTTGGGGCAGGTGGTGGTGGCAGGAGGGTGTTGGACAAATTAAACTGTCCTAATCTAAGGTTTGTGAATTGTTGATCAAGTTGATATGCAACCAAGGGATTTGTTATTTGCAAGGACAAAAACATTTATGTTCCATGAAAATTGCTTCTGTGGCTTTCCAAATTTGAAGCGTAAACCTTTTTAAACCTCTCCACTATAATTTTCAAGAATGTTGTTGTTTTGTACAAATAATACGAGTAGTATAAAATTTAACAAAAGAAAAAAAAGAACCAATTATGGGGAGGGGATTGGTGAATTTAATCGAAAGAAAATTTTATTTAGGGCCACATATTCATCTGTAACATTTTGACCGCGCAGAGAAAATGATATTTAGCATTATACCAAATATTAATTATATCCTAAAAGATTTCAAAATTAGCCATTAAATTTAAGAATAGTTTGTAGAATCCTACAAAGAGAAATAACACGAAAAAAAAAAACATAAAATTGGATGAAAGTACCTTACCGCAGAGGGGGGTCGTAAACAAACTCATTTAATTAAATGTCAAACTGAATTAATACAAATTCATTAACTATTTATCTAACTGATTTAATTACTAAATAAAAAGATAATGTAATTAATTGTTTATTTAAATGAGCTGACTGTATTTTATGTGTTTGATCTATTGAAAGAGTCAAAATATCTAAGGAATATACAAGTTGGAATCCTCCTGTAAACTTTAGCATATATAAATAGGGTTTATGAGTCTACCCTATGGGTGGCAGTGGATGAGAAAGATCCATTTGTAGACCAACCTGAACTTTTTCCTGCATGGTCCTCAACCCCTTAATATTGAATGCCATTATCATCCCTCATATAGAGGAATGATTTTGTGTCATCCATATATATACTACTTGTTTGCCACTTACAATCGAATAGCAGCAAAGAATGTTGTAGGAAGGAGACAGAAGGCATATGCACACCAACAGGGCACTGATTTATTTAATTAAGTTATAATTAATCCCATTCAGCATTATTATTCAAAGAGGGGTTCCTACTACCTATATTATTGCACAAGAGGAAGACAGCAGTGGTAATATACACACCCATTTCCCCGAACATTACATATTTATACCCTTTTGAAATAATCTTTATTTAACTATTTACTTTTTTAATAATTAAATTTGGGAAGCCAAAACTTTTAATTACTTTTTTTCAGTTCTAATTTCCATTTTTAAATAAAATAACAGTTAAAAATTATCGCTAATTAGACATTAGTTCTAATAGTTTGTATGTATGGTTGCGAATTGTGCCATTGGGTTTCCTAATCTAAGGATACATTAGTTCAAAAATATTGACTTTTCGTATATTTAAATTCACATTTTCTGTTCTCAAATCCATGTTTATTCAGACACTCCATAAACTAGCTTACAGGTTTCAGACATGCGTATATCATTCTTTTTTAACTAGTTCTTATGCTTCTTTTTTTTCTCTCCTCCAGATCACATGACCCCCTTGAAGTGAATCATTAACAATCTCATTAATTTGAACATTAGGCGATACTAGGAAACTACCCTTTTAATTCATGTTGTAATAGTTTATTAATTTAATTGAAAAGCATTAATTTTTATATTATTATCTAATCATAAATTGTCTCATAAACAAAAATCGTTAATTTTATAATAATAATTTTATATAAATATATTTTAATTAATAATTTTTATATTAACAATATATCAAAATTAAACTAATAATATATATTATTAGTTCATTATAGTAATAAAGCAACACCCCCAAAAAAAGTGAAAAAGAAGGGTGAACGATATGATTTTTTAAAAACAATAATTGCTTTATATCCGTTCCACAAAATTAAATTAGTTGTGAATGAAACATCTTAACATGCAATATATGAAAGAGCAGGTCTGAATCTAATTATCTATTTCTTCCTGTACGAATTTGTCGGTACTGTTTGACAGAAGAAAAATTAAATATAATACATTATTAGTTAATCAGTTATTCTTTAATCTAAGAAGAGTATAACATGGCCAGAAGATGCCACATACATTCGTATGTTTTTCGTTGATACATAATGTCCCACCACCATTGTTTTCCTCTGATGCTAATTAAAATTAGACAAAGTGCAATGCATGTTCCCCACCCCAATCCCTTCCCAAAAACAAAAGTACGGATACTTATTTGCATAATTTTGAGCGCATGTGTAAAGCTCGAATCTGTTTGAGTTCTTTTATTTCTGTCAGCATACTGGAAAGCAAGAAAATGGAAACCCTTTACAGATGATGATGTCTTCCAACTAATGTGCTTGCAAATTAATTGGAAGGGGAACTATAGTGTCCAGAGAGGCATCCATATCCTCTATTCGCTTCCCCTTATTCTTTTTCTTCTTCTTAATCACCAAACAAATGATTTTTTTTTATTAATAAGAGTATACGGCTGTTTATACTCTAATCAGACGTTAATCTGGGTTGATCAAAACCAAATAGTCTAGCCAATAATTTTTAAATATTACTAATAACTCCATATACATATAAGACATATATTAACTTAAACTAATATATTTAACATAATATAATGATAATTTAC